TCAGGATTAGGCAGTGTTTCATTCTGTGGTACACAGAGTCACTATGAATTAGAGCTGACTCAATGGTACCTAACAACAACAAAGAAGTTGGCAAGGTACTAAGGATAATGTTTATTCTTCAGCTAGTTAGCATTTTGGGTAATTGTGCAAATACAATAACCATTGCAATCTAAAACTCAATGGAATAAAGCTCTTTTTTTGTGGTAAAATAATTTTCATACTACAGATATAATTAAATTTCTGATATTTTCGAAGATCTTTTTAAAGTTTACTAGTTCCATCTTGGGAGCTCTGGTGGCGAAGTGCCTAAGGCATTTGACTGCTAACCAGAAGGCTGGCAGTTCAAACCCACCAGCCACTCCTTGGAAGGAAGAGTGGGCAATCTACTTCCATAGAGATACCACCTTGGAAACCCAAGGGGGGGTCGCTATGAGTCAGGATCCAATTGACAGCAGTAAGTTTGAGTTCCATCTTAAAAGGGAAACTTCCAAATTGAATTATTTTTCTGGAGGTATTTATCAAACTGGTAGTGTAGTGCCTAAGGCACTTGACTGGTAACCAGAAGGCTTGCCATTCAAACCCACCAGCCACTCCTCGGAAGGAAAGTTGAGCAATCTACTTCCGTAGTGATGCTGCCTTGGAAACCCAAGGAGGGGTCGCTATGAGTTGGGTCTGCCTCAATGGCACATAACAACAACAACAACAACAGTTATCAAACTGATTTTTACAAGGTGGTGACCAATTTTGGGGTGGGGGGAATTGGTGACCAATTTAAAGAGGGTGCTTATAAAGAGAGTGCCTGCTTGCCGATCAACATATTGACAGACATGAGAAATAAGGACTAGAGACCTGTTTTTCTCTAAGCACAACTTATAGTTCTAAGGACATTTGAAGGTTTGAAGGCAAAGAAGAATTTAATTAAAATAATCCCATAATTTTGAACTATTTCTTTTACTATTACCTTGCATAAAAACAATGGCTAACCCTTCAATAACTGCTTGCTGTGAGGAGCACTATTCTAAGTGCTTTATGTATCTTAATTTATTCAGTTCTCATAAAAATCCTGTGAAACACCACATAACATGGATGAACTTGGAGGACATTATGCTGAGTGAAATAAGTCAGTTACAGAAGGACAAATATTGTGTTAGTTCATTATAGTAAAAAGTCAAGGAAAGTTTATATATGGATGGGAACTTTCTTTGTTGGTTACCAAGGGTGGGAGGGGAGGGGAGGAAACACTGCAAAAACAATAAACAAATAAATTTTAAAAAATCCTATAAAGTAGTTATTGTTTTTATACCCATTTTATGGATGAGAAAACGGAGGCACAGATAAGTTAAAATGCTTGCTTGAAGTTATTAGGTGATACATAGCAGAGCTAGATTTCAGACCTGGCAGTGAGGCTCCAGCATTCCTGTCTTCAGTACCACCCTCTTAAGCTTCAATAGATCAAGTCATGATTCAGAAGGATGCCATAAATTTGATGGCAGGTTGCTAAATCCTGATGATATAGGACATATTCAGCACATTTTAAATTTTAGGTACTCACGGAACTTTCATGGCAGGCATTTCACATGAGTTTAAGTAAATCACAACTTATTATTTTATATAGTGGCTCTTAAACCCAACCAGATTCCTGGATCTTACCCCAGATCTACAGAATTAGAATCTGGGGGTATATGTGGTAAGGATGGAGAATGAGGAGATAGAGTGGCATGAGGCATCCAGGGAAATATCTTTCCAAAATGGTTCTCAGAGGATTCTGATGGATAGCTAGAGGGGAGAATGACTAGTACAGGGTCACCGTCTGTTTAGAAAGTTTGGGTTGGCTCCTTATATGAATTGGTAGAGCATTTGAACATGTTGGAGATATATGTGATGATACGAAGTATCCAAGAGGAAAACAGAACCTTTTATTATGGTCTTACATTTTTAACGATGGGATTTTGCTTTTACTTGGATTCCTTAAAACATGCTTTTTTACAATCAAAATTCTTGTTGTAGTGGGGTTTGAAAATATTAGTCACTGGGCAGAACAGCCATTTCTCTACCAGCATGCCTTGCCCTTATCTAAGAATATGGTCATCACCCCAACTGTTGAAGCATAAGGGGTTTATCACTTTAGTGACTCTTCCAGTACACTTGTGGTTACCAGTGTCTTCAGGGAGTTAATTACTCCCTGAAGAATGTGTTTAGTTTAATATATGTTTGTAGAGATTACTATTTATATCCCCATTATTCATGCTAATCTTTTGATTAGCTCATTAGGTAAAAAGAGCTTAGAGAAAGGGTATGCATGTTTTTAGAATATACAGAAATCATAAAAATGATCATCAGAACATCTGGCCCTAACAGTATGTTAATAGCTGTTTGGTCACTGTTGTAAGAATGAATATGACTATTTTCCACTTTGAGGCAATTTCTATAGAAATACCTAAGCTTCGAATGGCCAAGGATTTATAATGTAAAAGTGACATTAAATATGTGGAACCACATGCTGTCTACTTGTACAATAACAAAGGAGTCAATATCCATAATTTCACCAATCCTTCCCTGCATCCCATATATGCTGACTTTCATGGCTATGCAAGTTAAACAGGACCCCTAGTGGCATAGCGCTTAAGGCATTTGACTGCTAACTGGAAGCCTGGCAGTTCAAACCTACCAGCCAGTCCTTGGAAGGAAGACTGGGCAATGTACTTATGTAGAGATACCACCTCAGAAACCCAAGGAGGGTGAGTCGGGACCGACTCAATGGCAGTGAGTTTTATTTTTTAAAAATAATTAAACAGAGCAGGCCGTCTACATTGGGCCTCTGATCCATTTATACATATGACCAAGGGCCTGCCCATGGTTGAAAAATACTTATGAATTGGATATTAAGAGCAGAGACAGAAAAAATAAGATTCCAGCAGTAGAAAAATCTTTGTCTTTGATTGGACAGGCAATGAATCCCTCCAAAAATAGGTGAAAGGCTATATAATCCTTAATTTTAATTTAGACCTTTGGTTTGTGGAAGAAAAAAAAAAAATTAATCGTCTTTATTTTGCATAAGGCAGCATTCAGGTTGATTTGCTTAGAAATAAATACTTGGAGGTTGTGTCAAGAACAGAGCTTTCACCTTCTGATATTATTAATTTCCCACCAATGACTGTTAATTGTTCTATGACTGAAAGTCATGTTAGACCAATAACATTTAGGATTTCAATCATGATGCTGTGTAGAAATTGTTTGAAATTGTCAACAGAGCAGAAACCATGAAGAAAATCTGACTTGAACTTTGAATTGTTTTATCACATTAATGAAGTGATACTCTATATTTATGGATTTATATTTATAGATGGAAGTAGGACTCTATAACACAGAGGCTGGTTTACATCCTTCCAGCACCCATCCTTACAGAGGTTCTCAACTGTTTCTTTAGTAGTACTCATCAGCATTAATGAACAACATATTGCTGCAAAGTCATATAATACACATTATATACATATAATACAGGTTATTTTTGTAAAAATTGTTGAAAGGTATTTAAGAGCATTTAATTCTAATCACCTATAAGTCATACGAGAAAACTACCACAAAATTATAGCTCATAGCTAGAGATTATTGCAATTTGGCAAATATTTGCTAATTCTTGGAGATATTGAATATTCATAATGTTTACGGATCTTGACACCTTGTTCACCTAAAAGATGAATGAGGAGTACATAAGTCAGAACATAAAAGTGTTATCAGAAGTGGTTCTAAATATTAAGCATTCATATCGAATTGTCATATCATTTTAAAGGTGAACTAAAAGGACTCCTTTCATTTTTAATATACACCCATGGCATAGTGCCTAAGGCATTTGACTGCTAACCAGAAGGCTGGCGGTTCAAACCCATGATCCACACTCTTCGGAAGGAAGGTTGTGCAATCTACTTCTGTAGTGATACCACCTTGGAAACCCAAAGAGAGGTCGCTGTGAGTTGGACCCAACTTGATGGCAGTGAGTAAGCTGAACAGTGAGGTTACTGGATAAATAATGATATTAATATGGCGAAAGAAATCAAAGAGTTGATGTGTCTTTTTTTCCAAAAGGGCTTAGAGTCTCAAATAAGAAATTGAAATGATCTCATATATAAAATTAGAATATTGCTGTTGGTATCACCGTTATAAATTGTACTTTTCAACACTTATTTAACCTTATAAGAAATTTTTAGAATAAGAATGTGTATAATAATGTTTTTTCAGAAAAGTTATACGTATCTACCACCTGTGTCTTTTTTAAGTTGCAATAATAATTTAAAAGCAAACATCTTTGTCCATGTCTCTTTTTTCACTCGTAATGTTCAAGATCATTGGCCAGATGTTGCTTTAAAATGTTTATAGAACCTAAAACTTACATCATGTCCCAGGCATTATATGGAATTCAAAATTAGTGTAACTTATCTCAAGAGCACATAGTCTAAATTCGAGGATAAGACAGGTACACGAATAACATGTTAGAATGTGATTTAGGAGCTCTGGTAGCATAGTGCCTAAGGCACTTGACTACTAACCAGAAGCTGACAGTTCAAATCCACCAGCCACTCCTCAGAAGGAAGGTTGGGCAATCTACTTCTGTGGTGATGCTGCCTCTGAAACCCAAGGAGGGTTTGCTATGAGTTGGGTCCTACACCAGGGCACATCACAACAACACAACAACAGAAAGTGATTTAGATGTTGAAAATCAGTAATTGCTATTTCATACGCAGGTATCAGATATTATTTCTGTGTAAGTCTGTCATCACAATAAATAGCATGAAAACATTTACTGAAAGATGAACAGTGAGGATGCTATAGATATTTTATATAATGGTCTCTACTACAGTCAAAGGATGGGGAGAATACTTTGATAACTTTATATTTAAACAAAAACCTAATTTTATTTACCTAGTAATTATTTTACCTAGTAATTAAGCATTTGCATTTTTGACAAAACATCCAGTTGACAATCATGTTTGTGTTTTTTAAAGGGAAGTAGAGGAGAGATAGGACCAGTAGGACCCCCTGGCATACCAGGTAAACTGGTAAGTAATGTCTATTCTCCAGCAGTCTATTGCTCTCCACAAATTAATATTACAAAAAAAGTTTAAACAAAAATGAGGAAAACAATTTAGAAAGGGTAATTAAATAGCTTCCTATTGTTATGTGAATCTTTAAAATGCAAATGTGTAATTTAAAATTATGTCTAGAATACCCCTAGAGAGTATTTTAATCAGCGTGGTCTGTAAAATGCATTTTAAAACCTGGACTAGGAACATGAGGTGCTACATTTGGCCTCTGGTTGTTCTTGGAAGAGAACTGTGGGTGAATGCTGCCTTTGATTACTTGTGCAGTACTTGTTTACACAGAAAGAGAAGCAGGGGCTTGACTGAAAGAGCCTACTGTTTCGAGGGAATGCAAACTAGGGAACGAGGACCTCAGGAGTGGAACGGGCATGGTAACCGAGGCCTCTTCTCCTGAGAATGTGGGAGAAAGACAGATTAGAGGAGCAAAGTTTAAACCAACCACATCATGCTGATTGTAGACAGGAGTCAACACACCCATGGTTGTGTCTTGGCTTGTATGCCTTCAGTGTTGCAGTGACAGTGACTCTGGGAACTTTCTGTTTGTTTTCTCAGGGTTCTCTTGGTAGCCCTGGCCTCCCTGGCTTGCCTGGTCCCCCTGGACTTCCTGGAATGAAAGGTGACAGGGTACGATATCAAGCATTCCAGAGCATTCATTATTTGGAAGGACAATTGCTACAATGTTCAGAAATCAGCTTGAATCTTCTAGAATTGTCATAGATAGCAATCAAAAAAAGATTTTAAATTACTGATAATTGAGATTAAGAAGCAAAAAAAATCTATTAATGTAAACATTTATCAAGAAAGAAAAAAGCAAAGAAAAGTAAAAATTTCTCTTGTAATCATACTTCCTACTTAGTTCTAAATATATGTTCCTGTGCATTAGATTGGAGCTCTGGTAGCATAGTGCCTAAGGCACTTGACTGCTAACCAGAAGGCTAGCGGTTCAAACCCACCAGCCACTCCTCGGAAGGAAGGTTGGGCAATCTACTCCATAGTGATACTGCCTCGGAAACCCAGGGAGGGGTCACTGCGAGTTGAGTCTGACATAACGGTACATAACAACAACAACATGCATCAGATATTATGTGAATGTGATCCAAGAATACCTGGAGTTGTCAGAGATTCTTGGACAATTGTCTGTGCTTCTCTGGGTCTTACCTGATCCTTGTTAGGTGATGAGCAGGGAAGCCCTCTCCTGTCACATTCATACTTGTACTTACCCACCTGCCAAATAAGAGAATTTGATCCATTTAAAATTATCTGGTGCCTTATCCTTAAAAAGCTCAAAATATTGAAAAAGTATATTTTCTTGTTTATAGGGTGTAGTTGGTGAGCCTGGTCCAAAGGGTGAACGGGTGAGTGCTATTATTTGACTAGTATGAAATGCAGTTTTTAATATGCACTGCTTCACACACCGGGGTGGCTGACTGGCTGGTTTGTGGATGTGGTTATAAAGATAGGGGATAGCAGTTTTTCTCACCCTGCTTCAGAGTGAATGAATCCTAGTGTGTAGTTTGTCCTGTAGTCTTATCTGTCCTCTTTTTTAATATGTGAGAGCTCATGATGGCTCAGCCTCCAGGATACATACTGCTCTTCCTTTGAAAAGAGTAGCCCTGTCTCTCTGGCTCACCACATATGTTTACCCAAAGCTCCAGAGCCTTCCAGAGCCACACCATAGTATTTTAAGTGTCTTTTTTAAATCGAGACCTCAGTATGCAGATTGGATTAGACTGAGTGCTTTTCCTGGGCTCCTTTTTCTACTGTAAAAGACCACTTTCAAGGGTTACCTACTTTATAAACTTGCTGGTTATAGTCATTAATTCTTACCTTTAGCTGAAACTCAACCTCACCTTCTGGCTTCTCTCTAGGCTCTTTTCTGATTTGGCCTAGCCATGGACAGCTAGGTAGGAAAGCCACTGACAGCATTGTATATTTCTGCACCATCCTGGGAGTGCTGCGGGAACTTATAAATGCTTCTTGATGTTGACTGGTTAAAACTGACCCAACTGACTGAGAATTTAAAAATATCATATTTTATCTAAATTTTCAGGGTGCCTCTGGTGAAGAAGGTGAAGCAGGAGAAAGGGGTGATCTTGTAAGACATTTTATTTTCTGGTTTATGATGGAGACTTATTGATTTTAAGCTGTATTGGAAACATACATTTTTTTCCCCTATTTCTGACACTGTATGTTCTCCTTATTGTCTTCTTAATAGGTTAAGATGTTTCTTAAAGAACCTAACAAAAGACTCCTCAAGGTTGTAGCCAAAGACAGTTAAAGCAGAGGAGAAACATCTCAAGTTTGAAATTCACCTATGGATCTGGCCTTAAACTTTTCTTGGGAATAAAATGTTCCCTTGTAGATAGTGATCTATAGATATAAAATATTCTATCTAAAAGGGAACATTTTTTCTTGCCAAAAGTTCAAGGTGATTCTTACATGCCTACAAAAGTATATGAGTAGTTCCTATCTTGAAAACAAAATTGAAGTTTTATTATAGTTAGAAAGCAGTGAATCACAAATCTGACTGAGGCTATTCTCTCTAGCCTAAAACCCTCCCAAGAAGTGACCTCCATCTCCAGGGGACGCCTCTGCTAAATCTTTGGGGAAGGCAAGGAGAACAAGGACAAGTTATCTTTACTGCTAGAACTGCTCGGTCTGCTGGTTCATCATTATAGAGTTGACATGATCGAGCATGACCTAAGAAGGAAACTTACGTTTTGGTCCTTTGGGTTGAGGACAGTAGATTTTTATAAAATGAGTTTTGGAGAGTTTTAGTGTAAAAAAAAGAAAAATTAGGAATGTGGTTTTGTTCAGCTTGAGAGCTAATAATAAGGTAACATTTATATTAGGTAAAGCTTTCCAACTGTTGAGTAAATTTGAAATGGCATTATTTCAATTTTAGTTCCTGTTGAAGCTGTTTATCTTGCAGGCTGAAAAAATGTTTTAAATTATTTTACTTTGTAGTGGAGATGTACTGATATGCTAATAAAACTTTAGCTGTATACATATCTAGAATTAGTGATGGGAATTTTTCAAGCTTTTTTTTCCCTTCTAAGCATAAAAGTTTGCATATTTGATTTGATAGACTTTTTGGCTAAATTTTAAAATATTGCTTCAGTTTCAAAAGTGAAGACATCAAGTTTTAAATGTTTTTTAGCAGAATACTATTTTAATATTTTTTTGGCTTACACATTTCATTTTAATTCTCCATGTGTAGCATTTTAGGTCTGGATGGAGCCTTGGAGAGCTCTGATTCAACTCTATAACTTGACAGACATGTTAGCCAAAGGCTGGGAGGTTATAGAGCTCACTCGGGGTCACAGAGTTAAGTAGCAAAACTGGGACTGGAATCCAAAATTTGATCTAGTGTTTTTCTTCAGTTACAAGACTGATCTCTTCACAGTTTTCTATAGATTTCCATATCACAGTAACTTTTTAAATGTTTTTAGGAAACTGTACCAAATACACTATTATAATTTTGTTTTATTTTCTTAGGGAGATATAGGATTACCTGGCTCAAAGGGATCTGTAAGTATAATGAACAGTAATGATATAAAAAATAAAACATATCAATAAAGCTATAGAAAATACAATACTCTGCTTTATGAAATTATTCTATAAAATTCAATTCTTAAAGAATTTACTTTCAGGGGGATGAATTTCTAAATTTACACTTTAGGTAATGAATGGGTTAATAAAGTAGACAAAAACTTACAACTGTGTAAATAGATCTACCTTTTGAACAAACCACTGTAAAGGAAATTTTTTTATATTATAAGTGGCTCAATGAATATTACACAATAATACTTTAGTTTCCTCCCCAAATGTCATTTTATTTTTTGAAAATTTATTGTGCTTTAGGTGAAAGTTTACATAGCAAATTAGTTTCCAAAATAATAATTCATATACAAATTTTTGTGACATTGGTTGTAGTTCCTACAACATGATGGCACTCTCCCTGTTTCCTCCCTGCTTTCCCTATTGCTAATCATCTGGTTTCCCTGTTCTTCCCTGCCTTCGCATATTTGTTTTTTGCAAAGTTGCCCCTTTGGTTTGGTATAGTTGATTGTACTCAGGAGTACTGGTGTCATTATTTATTTTATAGGCCCATCTGTTATTTGGTCGAGAGGTGGCCTCTGGGAGTGTCTTGAGTTTCAATTTAGAAAGTTGTTTTAGGACAATAATCTTGGGGATTCCTCCAGTGTCATTCAGACCAGTACATTTTTACCCATTCTAACCAGGACTGTTTATTGTGGTCCTGGTCAGAATGGATGGTAGTGATGGCTGGGCACCATCTAGTTCTTCTGGTTTTAGGTAAGAGCACACTGTGGTTCGAGTGCACCATTAGTCTGTTGGACTAATTGCTTCCTTGAGTCTTTGATTTTCTTCATTCTCCTTTGCTCCAGTTTGCTCCAATAGTTGCTTCTTAGATGGCCTCTCACAAACTTTTTATATGTCAAATGCTACTCACAAGACTAGGATGTAGAACATTATCTTTATGAACTGTGTTTTGCCAATTGACCTAGTTGTCCCTTGAGACTACGGCCTTCAAGTCCAGTAGTTCGATCTTAATGTCTAAGTAGTTTCTATACCTGTGCCCCCATGTACTCTTTTATATATAGATGAGTATGCATGCAGCATTTGCAAATATGTATGTAGAAATATCCTCAACCATTTCTATGAATGTATGCATGTGTGCTCTCATTTGACCTCCCTTCTGGCTTCATAGAATGAAGTATTATTTGGGAGTATTATTTCTATTGTAGTGTAGTGCCTAAGGTATTTGACTGCTAATCAGAAGGCTGGTGGTGCAAACCCACTAGCCACTCCTCAGAAGGAAGGCTGGGCAATCTACTTCCTTAGTGATACCGCCTCGGAAACCCAAAGAGGGGTTGCTATGAGTCGGGTCTGACTCGACAACAGTGTGTTTGGTTTGGTTTTGATTTATGTTCTAGAATAGACCATAGAATGGGTGTCAGCTCTTCTTGGAATGTTTGTTGGCATTTTCCAGTGAAGCTCTCTGGGCTGGGCTTTTTTCTGTTGAGAATTTTTTTTTTTAATGTCTTCTTAAATTTCTTATTTTGTTATAAGTCTGTTCAAATTTTCTACCTTGGTCTTTGTTAGTTTAAGTAGGTAGTATGTTTCCAGAAATTGTCCATTTCTTCTAGGTTTTCAAATTTGTTGGAGTCTTTCATAATACTCTGATACTTTTTTTAATCTCATTTGTTTCTATTGTAATATCACCCATCCCATTTCTTATTTTGGTTATTTGCATCTTCTCATCCCTTTCCTTTGTCAGTTTAGCCAGTAGTCTGTCAATTTTATTAATCCTTTGTTCTCATGGATTTTTTTCCTGTAGCGTTTCTGTTTCATTTATTTCTCCTCTAATCTTTATTACATCTTTCCTCTTGTGATTGTAGGCTTCTTTTGCTGCTCTTTTTCTATTCTTTAAGGTTAAGTTATTGATTTTGGCCCCTTTTTTTTTTTTTTTTGATAAGTATGTTTATTGCTATAAATTGGCCTCTGAGGACTGTTTTTGCTCTATCCCAAAGATCTTGTATGTTGTGTTTTCATTCTCACTTGATTCTAGGAATTTTTAAATTTAATTTTTAATTTTTTTCTATTACCTTTTGGTTTTTAAGTAGAATGTTGTTCAGTTTCCATGTATTAGACTCTCCTTGATCTTGCCTTTGTTGATTTCTACTTTTATAATGTTGTTATCTGAGAAGATGCTTCATATTATTTCAGTGTTTCTAATTTATTGAGACTTGTTCTGTGACCTAAAATATGTTCTACTCTGGAGAATGATCCATGTGCATTGGAGAAGAATGTGTATTCTGCTTTATTGAGTAGAATGGTTTGTATATGTCTATAGGTCAAGTCGATTAATTGATTAATTAATTAATTAATTTTGTATCTTTGTTGATATTCTTTCTTATTATTTTGTCCTCCATTAAAGCAGTGTGTTAAAGTCTCCTACTATTATTATGGAATTGTCTATTTCTTTTTAAAATTCTGTTGGAGTATTTTGGAGCTTTTTCATTAGGTACATAGATCTTTCTTATGGTTGTGTTTTCCTGTTGGATTGACCCTTTAATCATTACATGATGCCATTCCTTGTCTCTCTTGCTGGTTTTTGCCTTTTAGTCTGTTTTATCAAACATTAATATTGCCACTCCTGCTCCTTTTTGATTGCTCTTTACTTATTTTTCTATCCTTTGATTTTTAGTTATTTTTCATCTGTGTGTCTCTTGTAGGCAGCATATTGATGGGTCAAGTTTTCTTATCCATTTTGCTACTCTCTGTATCTTGACTGGTACATTTAATCCATTTACAGTCAGTATAATTATTAATAGGTATGAATTTACTGTTCATTTTGCTGTTTGTGTGTATGTGGTGCTGATGATTTCTTTGTTCCATATATTTTTCTGTGCCGAGTTCATTCTGCTTACATATTTTCTTTTCATTTCCTTCATTGCTCTTGGTTTTCAGCTGTTTCTGTGATTTTCTTCTGTATTTTGGTAAGAAGGTTCATTATTATTATTATTATTTTGTGATTATCTGTAATTCATTTCTATCTTCCCAGCCTGTTCTATCTTGATATTATTTTGACTTCCTCTCCATTTGGAAGTTCTGTAACTGCACTATTTATTCCCTGTTTTTGGTTTATAGTTGTCATCATTTACAGATTCATGTCTCTGGTTCCCTATTTTTAATCTTAAAGCTTTAATTTTATTTTTGAAAATTCTTTCCTCTGTTGGTTTCTGGGTGATGTTGTCATGTGTCTTAATCTCGGGTTGTGGTCTAATGTGTTGTCTGTCTGTCCAAAGGACTTCTTCAGCATTT